CCCCCCCCACCCAAGGGCTCACAGTCTTTGAGGTTGAACTCGTTGGGGGCCTTGGCAGACCACAGCCTCATGGTGTTGACGGTGTTGTTCCTGTAGCCCGGGACGGGGGTATCGTAGGGCAGAGCCAGGACCACCTGCAGGGGGTCAGAGGGGGGAAAAATACCGACCTTACAAACCGAAGAGCAGTTCCCCCCCTCGTCAATCCACAGACCCCCAGTCTGTCAATCTGCTCACCGCCAACGCCGGCTATGAGGTGTGAGCGAAGCAGTGCCCGCGATCCGTGAGCTCTCTCACCTGCGTGTCCACCCACTTCACGCCCTCGGCTGTGTGCTCCACACGCCCGTAGAAGTGGACGGGCCGCATGTACTCGGGGCGGGCCTTCTCCCAGGGGTTGCCGTAGCGCAGCCAATCGTCAGCCTCCTCCACCTGCGAGGGGCGGAGACAAGACAGAACACACCCCCTGGTGTTTGTACTGGCCAACAGTGATGACATCATCAGCCATGTCAGCATCGCTGAGCGTCCATAATAAAAGAAGCAACGATGGGTTTATTTTCATTCTGATTAAGAAATAAAAGATCAAAACCGCTCTGGAAAAGCAGTTCAAACTGCCACAGCTGAAGAGTTGCGTATTTGTTACAGTGAAACAGGACTAATGACTATACAGAAGCAATTACCCGTCTAGTCCGATATCAAAGCAGAACTGGAAAGTTCATCTTTAATTCATGAATTCATTTGAGGGAAATGAAACAGGGCCTAAGACGCACAAGAGAAGTTACTGAAAACCGCTTGTTTCTATCTGGGGAGCCATGACACGATACCAGACCTGACCGTTCAGTCAAGCGCCTGTTTAAACTCAGTCGTCTCATCCTGTCGGTCTCGAAGGGCCTCCTGGCAGAGGTGTGAGTGTCCGCGCCAGACAGCGGGAGAGTCCTCACCTGCCACCCGTTGACGATTTTCTGATTGAAGATGCCAAACTCATAGCGGATCCCATAGCCATAGGCAGCCAATCCCAGGGTGGCCATGGAGTCCAGGAAACAGGCTGGGGACAGGGGGAGACAGGGTCGGAGAGAGACAGGGTCAGAGACAGGGAGAGACTGGGTCAGAGACAGGGAGAAACAGGA